ATTTCTTGAATTTGGTTATCCAGGCCTCCAATATCTGCATATGTCTCTTGTGGAGCTTTTTCCACTTTCATCACTGTAACTAAAGGATCCGTGTCATCCATCAAGACACCAATCACAGCATGGACCTGTTAAAAGCAATGGGCAGAAGCATCCAATAGTAGGAAAGCATTTAAGCCAGGGGTGTTAAACTGCTGGCCCGTGGGCTGGTTTCATCATACCGAAGCCATGCCCACCCCATTGCCAGCAATGCAAAAAGAGTTGCGATACGTCGCGACAGGTCATATGACGTGGCGAGTTTGACACCCGTAATTTAAGCCATTGCCCTATTACAGGACTAGCATAAAGTAGAAACAGCATTATTGCAGACTGATAGGACATTTCATATGGTCAAATTCAGTTCCTAAAATCTATTTCTCAGAGACTGGCACTCTGTAGCTTCTGGTTAAGTAAGTGTAGTTAAGTTGATGACAATTTCTTTTTCAAACCACAGAGGAAAGAGAAGGCCTCCTGGCAAATCTGAAAATTATGGGGACACACCTCAACCCTTTTGGGGAGGGATGAGCAAGTACTGTGGACAAGCCAGGTCGCATCTTACATTCTCTATGTAATGACTTATGTCGCACAAATACAAATAATTTTACAGATCAGCAGTCAGACTTGGTCTCTACTGTCACTTTGGTGTGACTCAATATGTGTCTTAGTCTGGAGACAAGAGTAGTAGGTAAATTATAATCCTGTCATCATTTGTATTTATATTTTTTGTCCAAGAATGCTACAACCTTGGTTGGTTCTAATAAACAATAATTCAGAATTACAACTTAACTTGCTTCTTTTCATTTTCGGTGGGAAGCATTATCATCTCTCCTACTGCGGCTGTTTAAATTTTCCTGAGTCTGTAGCTTTCTAAAGAAAATCATAACCAAAAGAAACAAAAAAATCCCTTGCAAGCTGTAAACCTAGCATACAGCTTGGAGGGAAGGCAAGAAACCAATAGGTTGGAGGATTGGTTCCACTAAGCAAATTTCCATTAATGTTTTTCTTTTTAATCTGAATACTGTAAGAATGTTATAATTTATGAATATATGCCTGAGTGGGTTCTTTTTCTCTTTTATCTTTGTAGGAGGGAATTTCCTGTTGTTACTGATCATGCACAATTTGTTCTGAGACAACATTGTCTTGATCAAGATAAAAGTCTACATCTTAATGACTTTTAGTTTAATCTAGATAATGAATATTAAGATATTCATAACATTTATCTACTTTCAGTGCTTTCAATCATAGACAAAAAAAGCAAGAATTACCTTATGATTAAGTAGAACTGAACATCCTGGCTCTAGCAAATCCTTGTCTACAAAAGAAAGAATACTGACATAGTGTTCTGATCCTACTGATGTGGACACAATAGCATGATTATCATCAATTATTTCTTCCAAGGTCCCTACAGACATAGGAGTCCCTCTCAGATCATCCACCTTTGACCTCTCTTCCTGCAAACAAGCACACAAAAAGAGGTTATGATTATGTATTACAAATCACCACGCATCCCAACAATTTCTATATCTATTACACAATCAAGAAATGACAATTTTATGGCTTCCTCAACAATCCCAAAACAGAAGAACTGGCTAAGTATTTTCAGTATTAAGTATCTCACCATTAATGTCTAAGTATTCAGCATGTAATATGTTAACACTAAGACCTTACACAAATGCCACTTTAATTACTTTCTCAGAAATAAGTTAAAATATTCAATTGGTATTATCTACCTCTACTGTCAAACTGGGTCTGGTTAATTTCTGCCTTTTTCAAAATGGAAAAATGAATACTGAGATTCCCACAAGGATTATATATGAGATTGGGACCGAGATTTAAATGATCTGAATTAGATCAGCAAGATTATTTAGTCAAATTACTCGATGACACCAAACTATTTAAGAGAGTTAATCTAAAAGATTTTTCCATGAGGAAAGAACATTTGAATGGCATTTAAATGGACATATATTAGTACATAATTAACAGACATTTAGCTATAAGTATGTACTAAGTGAAATAAACTCTGCATTATTTAATGGGGTGTGAGTAGATGGGAAAGGAAAAAGACTTTAGGATTATGATGTTCGACAGAATGAAAGTGTTGATTATAAATATCTTGTTGGAGAATGATAGAATTCACAGATTCTGCTTAGATTCTTTTAGGATTTTATTGCAAACATGTCACATTACTCAAATAAAATAATATTATTATTATTATTATTATTATTATTATTATTATTAATAATAATAATAATAATAATAATAATAATAATAATAATAATAATAATAATAATAATAATAATAATAATAATTATTATTATTATTATTATTATTATTGGAGGTCAACTAGTCCAATCCCCTGGCAGGAAACCCTATATCATTTTAGACAAATGGCTGTCCAGTCTTTTCTTAAAAACTTCCAGTGTTGGAGCATTCACCGCTTCTGGAGGCAGGTTGTTCCATCGATTAATTGTTGTAACTGTCAGGAAATTTCCCCTTAGTTCTAGGTTGCTTCTCTCCTTGATTAGTTTCCATCCGTTGCTTCTTGTCCTGCCTTCAGGCGCTTTGGAAAATAGCTTGACTCCCTCTTCTTTGTGGCAGCCCCTGAGATATTGGAACACTGCTATCATGTCCCCTCGTCCTTCTCTTCGTTAAACTAGACATACCCAATTCCAGCAACCGTTCCTTATATGTTTTAGCCTCCAATCCCCTGATCATCTTTGTTGCTCTTCTCTGTACTCTTCCTAGAGTCTCAACATCTTTTTTACATTTTGGTGACCAAAACTGGATGCAGTATTCCAAGTGTGGCCTTACCAAGGCATTGTAAAGTGGTATTAACGTTTCACATAATCTTGATTCTATCCCTGTTAATTCAGCCTAGCACTGTGTTGGCTTTTTTGGCAGCTGCAGCACACTGATGGCTCATATTTAAGTGATTGTCCATTAGGACTCCGAGATCCCTCTCAGTTACTACTATTGAGTAAGGTACCACCTATACTATACCTGTGCATTTGATTTTTCTTGCCTAAATGTAGAACCTTACCTTTTTCACCAATGAATTTCATCTTGTTAGATAGCGCCCAATGTTCAGAAGAATCTGTCAAGATTCTTCTGTATCTTAAGCCTATCTTAAGCCTTCTTCTTAACTAATAAGTTTGTGATCTCTTTGATATGCTCTCAATAACTATCCTAAAATATATATGTGCCAAAGCAAACTATTCCATTAACTGAAATGGAATCCCATACTATTTGAGCCTGTTTTAACTAAACTGTTTATGCCATGTTATCTTCACCTACAGCAGTTTAGCAACACAAAGTCTCTTACTCTGGAAAATCCTAAAATTTGTACATGTGTAACTCCTGTTATTGAGGTAAACTAAAAAATAAGCATTCAATTTTAAAAACATAGAAGCAAACTTTATTCATTTTATAATAAAGCAAAACTGAGTTCAAAAACATTGCAAAATCCTGGGTTTATTGGTGATTTTGAATACCACCAAGGCTGTATCTTTGTTTCCGAACGTTATTTTTAAAAAACAAGTATATTTTGTTTTACTAAAAAAGTTTCTATCACATTAGCTATATAAAAAGTTTAACAAATACATCAAAGTGTACAGATAGTTCTCAATTTACAACCATTCAGTGACTCTTCAAAGTTACAAAAGCACTGAAAAAAGTGACAGTCCTGTGTCACCATTTGCAATCTTCCCAGCTGGCTTCTGACAAACAAAGTCAATGAGAATAGCTGGGTTCATTTAATAACTGTTTGACTCACTTAACAACTGCAGTGATTTGATTAACAACTGTGGCAAAAAGGTTATTAAATCTTTTGTAAAATCAGGCACAACTCACTTAAAAACTACCTTACTTAGCAATGAAATTCTTATCCCAATTGTGGTTGTTAAGTTACGTTCTACCTTTATTTAAAATTCACATCAATTAGTATGAAAGAGTACTATAGCATTTTAGAGACTTAACATTTGTCCTTTTTCTTATAGTTTGTTTTGCTGGGTGAATGAAGTGAAGTTAGAAGGTACAAAATGAGGATAAGTAAGTTGATAACAAAAAACACACAACCTAAGATGAATTTAAGCAGTTTTTTTCCCTATTCAAAGCATACATACCTCTTGCTTTTCTTCCAAAGGTTTCATCTGTTCCTGGTTTCTAATGAACTCTTCCTCCATCAGAAGATAATCCTTAATTCTTTCCAGCTTCAATAATTTGAGTCTGCATTGAGTATGAGGAGTGACTACAATTAAATAAAAGACTTTCTAAATGTAGGGTCTGGAATAATATATTCAACTTGTTTAGGGGATTTGAAGAAAGGGACAGTGAACTAAAATAATTTTTAAATTCCTGTCTTTTGTCTGGGATGCTTCTTGTTCCTATTATTTTGGGCACTGCTTTTTGATGGACGAATTGCCTTTTTGCATGGAACCGATGTAGCAATATGTGAGCCTAAACAAATTCCAAGGACAGAATTTAAAGAAATTCTTGAGAGGGCTGCATCTTATTCCAAGGAAAGAGAAATTATGTTTTTATGTTTGTAAAATAATCAACTCCTGAAATCAATTTAAAAAATCTGGCTTCTTCCAACTCTATGTTTTAATGTTCTGGATCCTGCGATACAGTACCCTAAAGATGAAAATATCTAAGTTTTTGTTCTATTTCAAAACAAACCACTGAGTAACCTAATTCGGTTCCAGTTACTCTTTAGCCCTTCAATGTTTCAAGCTCAGAGCTTTGAAAACTAAATTGCTCAAGTATGAAGTGGGAGCTTTTTGCATGCTGAAAAAACTATCCTATATCTTAGCTATAGCTACTCAAGTAAGTGACACAAACCATGCTTACCCAGTGGAAGTTTGCTGGCAGCATCTGGTCCCTTTGTTTTCTTCTTCTTTTTCCCCACTCGGGTTGGAACTGGGGGTTCATATTTCTTCTTTTTGTCCTTTTTATTTTAAAAATCAGGTTTAAAAAGCAATTTATAGAAAATAATATGCATCTACGATTTCAATTCAACTTTCAGAAGATTTTGTCAAATATTTCAAAAGTTCTAAATTATCCAATATTTCATAAATCATCTAATCCAAACCATAAAGTTATTATATTGCTTTCTAAATAAATTGGGATGTAACTTTATAATTCCCCATGGCGTAGAGCCTGGTTACTTGAGGGACTGCCCATCTCCCATAATGTCTGCTCAGCCAATTCAACCTTGGCGTGTTCCAGATTGAAATGTCATCTATTGGGACCACATATTCTTTGTAGCAGTGCCTGACCTCTGGAATTAGGATAGCCTCCAATCTGTTGTTGTTTAGAAGAGGTGTGAAGACCTATCTCTTTACCCAGTCCTTTGGCAAGGGAGAGTGAGACCATTTGTTTCATTCCATGTGGTCTGTCCCACTTTCCATTTTTATTTAATAATTTTGTAGTTGCGAGTTGGCCAGAGTTACTGGGAGTCTGGCAGCATGCAGGCTTAATAAATTATAATTATTACCAGTGTGCCTACGGGATAGATTTGAACATTGAACTATGAATTATCTTAGCTATGGTTATTAGAAACAAGGCAGTTGCAAATTTGAGCAGAATCATTGTTTCCATTAAATCATAGGGTCCAGATTAAATAAAAAACTATAATGAATAAAAATGAAAGAGAAAGACACATAAATCATGGCATATTTAAACTGGCTACTTATCCGTATACACTACAGTAAAAGCAACTACATGATTCTGAAAACTAGATCACTACAATGAAAATTCAACATACGTTCATAATATATATAAACACAATATTTGATTTTCTCAGTTTTTATTTAACAAGGGCAACTGAGGGAATATATATATATATATTGATTATCTTAATATATCTTAATTAGCATGGAAGATGTTTTCTACAAATATTCACTTAACACAGTTATTTTTCCTTACTTTGTCATCTTTCTTGCCTCCTCCAGGTCCATGTCCACCACTCTGACTCTGACCCTACATTCAAAGAGACAAAAGATCAATGAAACTCAGAAAAGGAAAAGAGGCTAATTAACCATCAACTATGTACAAACTCAAATTATTTGTTTCTTCTGAAACAACTGTCAAAAGAATGTAGACAGAAGTAATTCCCCTTTCATTCTTCTGACACTCTAAAAAACTTTTCCAGAAAACTCTCCAGAACAGGGAAATGCTACACAACAAAGATAAGGAAATGTTTTTGATATGCAAGAAGAAACCCATACAGGCAACACTAATTTCCCCCTGGGTCTAATTCATTTTGATGAAATGAATTTCTAAGCATAAATAAGACATTACTTTTTGAGAGTCTTTTTTGGTGACTACCACTTCAGGAACAATTCAGAAAAACAATCATGTTCTGAGTTGTATATAAAATGTTAAGCAAATGGTAAGTAAAACAGGGAGAGGGGGTTCTACTTTAAGCATACTAAATTATCTGCAGCAACCAATTTTAATTTTTGGAGAAATCACAAGGCAGTATGGGAATTTACTTAAACAAGTATTTCTACAAGTACTGTATTTATTTTGGTTGAAAAATCTCAGACAAGAATACCTGTGCTGTTAAGGTCACTAAATAACATCGAGCATAATTAATGGAATACCCTTAGGAGTCATTTAACTGCTATATATAGCTTGAAGCCGGCCCAAGGAGCAATAAGCAAGAATTTTCTGTTTTGATGTTGTTAGCCAATCTCGTGCAACTCTGGAAAAAGAAACTATAAACATTCCCAGCTCACATAAGTATGCCTGTAAATCAGTGTTTCTCAACCTTGGCAACTTTACGATATGTGAACTTCAACTCCCAGAATTCTCCAGCTAGTGTTGCTAGCTGGAGAATTTTGGGAGTTGAAGTCCACACATCATAAAGTTGCCAAGGTTGAGAAACACTGCTGTAAATATAATACATATTGTGCATTTCTACATGTGCATATGTGAAAAAGTATATTTACACGGAGGGCTATATATGACACCTGTACATTAGACAACCCCACAGCAATTAATTAAAGCAGTGTTTCTCAACCTTGACCATTTTAAGGCATGTGGACTTCAACTCCCAGAATTCCACAGCCAGCAAAGCTGGCTGTGGAATTCTGGGAGTTGAAGTCCACATGCCTTAAAATGGTCAAGGTTGAGAAACACTGAGTTAAAAGAAAGGTAGTAGTTAAAATCGTGATAGAAAGAGCTTCTGATTTTCTTACCGTCTTCGGTAAGAAAATCAAGCGCTCTTCCCGTCACCACCATTTCACATCCAAGGCTATTTTGGCCTATCCGCCACCACCACCCCCCCCCGGTCCCATTTCTCAGCTATGGAAACGATGCAATCATGACATCGCATAATAGCGCCGAAAGGACCCACGTCGGGAGAAAAGACTACTCTGGCTTAATGGAATCGGTCTCACCCAGCGGACACTGGCAAGGGCTCCAAACGGGCCTCAAGAAGTCCACCCGCGCCCCCCCCCCAAGCCCCCCTTTTGCTCACCATCCTGCCTTCCTCGCAGTCCAACCCCGGAAATCGAACGGCTTCCTAGAGGGGCGGGAGCGGAAGTAAGCGTGATACAGGGCGCGAGGAGGGTCATTTCTCTGCTCGGGAGAGGAAAAAAAGGGGGCGGAGTTAGGCGATCGTCGTCTCCCGGAGGGCGGAGGCGACAAAGAGGGAATTGAGCAGCGTATCGTCCGCATCGCGTTGCTTCCTTGCGGCAGAATGAGTCCTTTTTTCGACATCTACGAGACGAGGAGATGAATTATAAAATAAGCTTTCGTGTATTTCAGATGCAACGTCTGTGGTCCGTGACAGCTTACGCTCTCATTCGTTTGTCTTGCTTTTAACCGCGCAGAAACCTAACTGCAATAATATTTTAAGGACAGTTTCTTGAGAGGCAAATATGTCCATTGGCGCTTTTTGTAGCTGCCTGCTACAAAAGGAAGGTTAAGAACCAGGACAACCAATGGCATAAATGGAAGTAGGAGAAGCTGTTTTCTCTTTCCTAAAGTACTAGAACCAGAGATCACCCAATGAAATTGAGTCCTGGAAGAATCAGGGCAAGACAAAAGGATTTACACAACGTGCAATTGTATTTTACAATTCACTGCCGTGGTTACCCTTTGAGAACTGTATCTTATTTTAATGTTTGCTGATTAGTGTACATTAAAAGTGACTTCTATTCTATATTGTGGGAAGTTAACCCAGAGAAGGAAATATTAAAAAGGCAGGAAAAATATTGTTCACCAAAAGGATTTTTAAAAGCATTTTTTTGAAAAGCAGAAACCAAACCTGGCCTCATCTCTTTGCCCAGGGCAGTAGTTAGTCTTATACATATGCAGATGTGGAACCATCAGGAAGTTTGGAGCCAGGGATCTCAAGACAAAAGAAGCTCTTAAGAGTCATTAGCCCCATCACCTGGGAAGCAGGAGAGTCATTAGCCCCAACACCTGGGAAGCAGGATATG